AAGCTCTTTTATTCCTTCATTAAAACCATGTGAAAGATGCCCTTAAAAAGCGACTCCTTTTCAATTCTGTCTCCCCCAACACTGGCACAGTTGCTGCGCCTGTTACATGCAATGTTTGTTTATTTAAAATGTTAATCTGCTCTCATTTTCTCTTGTTCCTCACCCTGGCCTCCCAGCTGACAAGACTTTCTGTGAGATGGTGAAATCAAACAAGCTCTGTGAAAAGAAGCTGTTTGTGCAGTTCTGCTGTCAGACGTGTCTTATGGCCGGGTAAAGTTCAGCGGCTGCATCCATCTAGGACTTCCACTGACTGCCAGCCCAGTTTTGCCAAATGTTTAGGACAAAAGTTTATTTTTTCAGCTTTGGGAGAGTTTACATGGTGCTGTCAAGCATTTGCTCGTAAGTTTGATAGCTTTAATATCACTGTCGGCGCGTTTCTATAGCAATATGTTAAGCAGAGATTGGAGCGTACCCTGAGTGATCAAGGCCTGGAAGCAGCAGACAAGTGGTGATATTAACACTCTCAAACACTCCTGGTGAGCAGGGACCAATGCATGATCCATGTACACACGCTTGGTTCTTTGCAGAAATCCTACTGATCCGCCCGCTCCGAGCAGCCGGCGGGAGCCCTCACCACAAGGGATGCAGGACTTCACACACCTGCGAGGAAAGAGCCAATTCTGGCTCATTTTTGGTACCCTTTTGTGCCAGGTGCCAGCTGATCTAAACCTGCATTGCCAGCGCCGTGCTCTGTACATAGGTCAAACGATGAACCAGGCGGCTCTGGAGCGGGGCCCCACAGCCCACTCCGGCACTCCTGTTCGGATTCGGTCGGTCACTGCTTCCCTCTGGCCGTGGCAATAACTGGAGGCTTGAGGACCAAAGCCAGAGCTGCCCCCCGTGGCTCTGCAGGTGTGTCAGCCCAGCAGGGCTTTGCCCTGCAGGTAACTGCAGCCAGGCAAAACCCGTGTGCCTACAAGGAGTTGTAGGGTTTGGGGGGGGCAGGGGGGGTTTGTCCAGACAGACCAGCCTTACCATGAAATGTATTTCCCTCCTGGAACTGCTTGTACATTGCTGATTAAGTCAGTTCTGGAACAAGCTAAATCCTTCCTCTAAACGAGATGTTGTCCCAATTAATCTTTCTTGGCATTTTGCATTACGAATCCTCCCCCTGTTTCGCTGGGTACACCCCTCTCTCTCTCACAAAATCCTCCTGTTCATGGCAGTGATTTTTCTTGGGCATCTATTTCCCAAATGAGACATTCCAGGGATCCAGCCAGGAAACTTAATTCTACAAAACCCTTCCCCAAACAAACCTTTTCATGCTCTATCTTAATAGTAAGTCATGTGGTGTTTATATAATTGTGTTTAAAATATCCTTGGCTATGTTGTTTTACAGATTTTTAAAAAATAACTTATACAACCCTTGGGTTTTTTCTCCGTGGACTATTTTTTATATGGGAGTGGGGTATCTTTTTGTGTTTTATTCCTTCTCCTTTTCTCCTCTCTGACCCTGCAAAGCCACTCTTTGCACCAGATGTATGTAAACACTCTTTCCTACACTGCATGTTCTGATTTTCATTGTTAATAGTTTTAATGAGTTAAACCTTTCGCCATTGAAATTCCCAGTACAAATTGTCACCAGCTCCACACGGAGCTGGGATAATCCCTGCTTGGTTTCGGCTGCAATGACACCTGCCCTGCCTGGGCTTGCCCACAAGAGCTCACCTCAGCCAGGTGAGGAGGTGAAAGCCACACTGTCTCCAGCCCTAACCTGCCTGGACCAAATCCAAGGAAAGATGAAGCTTTGGTGAACTGATCTTTAAGTTAATAAACTATTGATCTCCCCTGACAAATGAATCTGTGCTTTTTGCAAATTCATGCAGCCCTGACTGGAGACACTGCACGTCCTTACTTTGCTGGACAAAGCAGCTCCTCCTGCTCAGCTCAGAGCACTTGTGGGAGAAATGCTCAGGAACAGATGAGCTTCATCTGCAAAAACCTCACTGTTGTTGTTGTAAAAGTCTTTTTACCTCCAGACAAAACTCAGATTCCAAATACTTGCCCTGTGCCAGGCTGGGCTGGTGCACCCAGGGCCATCTTACTGTGGTTTGGGGCTGTGCTGGGGCACGGGTGGGTGTATTCTCCAGTGTGGGGGATCCTGGCTGGCAGAAGGGCTTGATCACCTTTCCCACTCACACGAGGAGCGTCCTGAGCCCTCCAGTTCCCGACTGTTCCCAGCAGCTGGGAACCACAGGGCCACTGTTCCTTGTTGGCTGTCTGCGAAGGAGAGGAGCCGCTGGTGTGGTTGGGGAAGGGAGGGAACTGTGGAACCCTTTGTTTGTCGTGTTGGTTTTGCAACAACCATGGGCCAAGTGCCCAGGGTAGTGCCTGGATATCTGGAACTGAGCTTTTTAAGTGGGGAAAAAAAGAAAAGAATGGAGCCTTCCCACAAGAGAAGATGCTTTCTCAGAGATGTGCAGCTGTGGATTCCTGCATTTTGTTGGTCTTCACAATCATCAGATGATGAATATGAATTAATCACATACAATGATTCCTTCTGTTGCTGCAGGATTTCCCTTTCAGTCTCAGGCCAAACCAGAGGTCAGAACTGGGGTAACACACTCCTGGCTTCTGCCCCTTTGGTTGGAAAATACCAAACTTCATTTCTCCTGCTGTGTTAGTGAAAAAACAGGAGCTGTGGATCAGGAGTACTGTGCCAGCCTTTCAGTTCTCTGGCTCACAGCAGCCTGCCTCTAAATACTGCTCCCTGGTATATTTAGATGTCCTGAAATGCTACAAAGAAAGGAAAATGCTCACTCTTACATCTTGACATAACTTAAAATACATACTGGGGAAGGCAATGCAATTTAAGACGACCAGTCCCTAGCAGTCCCAGCTCTATCTTGCTTTCTGCTGCCTTCCAGCCTGCCAGGGAAAGAAAAACAAATTCTGCACATTGAATTCATGCAACAACATCAGCTTCCAGTGTTTCCCTCAGAAATCATTCTTGTAAAGTAATAAAATTCAGATTATTTCTCCAAGCTGTTGCAATACTTGCTTGGAGCTATTAAAGTCTGACTGGTATGCTCAGAGGATCAAAGTGGCTGTGTCTTCAAGATAAATGCATATTTAGGCAATTTATTAAAGCTCATTTCTCTGTTGTCTCTTGGCACCAAAGCCAAATCTATAATAGCTGTTTTCTGGAAAATCTTAGCGCAGCCTGACTCCTCGTTTGCAGTTTGGCCGTGGGGTTGCAGCCACGGCCATCTGCCATTGTGCAGTTGGCAGGTGGGGAACACAGATCTTAAAAAATCATTGCTTTGAGTTTCCATTGCAAAGAAAGGATTGTCGAGAGCTTGTGTGCAGCGTCTGAAACCCCGAATCCATCTGCTCGCAATTACTATTCTATTGTGGCTGTAGAGCTGAGGCAAACAGATGTATTGTGCTAAGGGAGACAGGTCCATGTTTTATTTGGCCTTCTCAGAGGCAGGACCTGCTTTCCAGGAGGCTGAAAAGAGTCTCCTTATGAGAACTGCCTGAAATGACTAAAGTCTCTGTTGTCTTTAATGCTGCATGATGTCTGAGTCATGTACAACAGTGCTGCTAATTCTTGGGTTTTTCCTTGTGACAGCTCCCTCTTGTTCTTGCTGCCTCCTATGTTATAAAACAAATGCAGCTGTTATAAAAACCTGACTCTGTGCTTTCCCATACAGCTCTGGTGAAGGAGTTTTCACAGCAGGGAGCACAGGAGCTGCCTGAGCCCAGCTGAACCCTGGCAGGGCCAGCTCTGACGCTGCAGTCCTGGGGACTGAGCCAGGCGTCGTGCCCGCAGTGATGCCCTGAGAAGCTCCCAAAAGAAAAGCATGAGCCATCCCTGTGAAGTGCCAAGCGTGGCTGCAGTGTTTGGCCTGCCATCACATCCTCTGGGTTCACAGAAATGTCATGTCTCACAAAAAATAGCCTTCCCTCGATAGCAGTGGAGACAGAAATCCTTCCTCATCCTGCTCCGCAGGCCTTCAAGGCTGGGGAAGGACTTCCCCAGAAGTAGTGGTTTGGTGACATTCAGCAGGTTTTGGGGGTCTGGGGGTGTCACTTTCAGTCCAGTCCCCTGCACTGTTGTTCAGCCATCAGCTGAGCCCTTCCCAGCAGTGCCAGGCAGTGCCCCAGCCTCAGACCCAGGGGCCTGGGTGGGAGCTCCTGGCCAGGCACAGCAGCCAGAGCCACCTCAGCTCCTCCAGCACAACTCCTAGCTCTTCCTTGCTGTTCCCCAAATCCTTAAAGCCAGTTAGGAGGATGTAGTGACATTTGCAGGCAGGTTTTGTCTCACAGATAAAGAGTGTGTGTCGTGCTGCAGCCTGTGGGGTGTTCTCAGCCCATCACAGCAACTCTGAGACCAGGAATGCACACGGCAGGGACGGAGAAACTGTCCCAAATGCTGCAGGGGGAAAGCACTTATGGGCAGCACAATGTCCGGGAGCAAAGGCTGAGCTGCTGCTGGGATGGACGGAAAGCACTGAGAGCTGTGGTTGTAGAAGGTGCCCTGGATCTGCAGCAGGAGGGAAGCAGCAAGTGCTTGAACACGGTTCTGTCCGAAGGGAAGCACCAGCCATGGCAGGACGTGTGTTCCCACTCTGCCCGGATTTCTGCAGATAAATCTGTGCCTGGAAACACCAGAAGGTGGGAGGGAACCTCTGGTGGCACGCGTGCTTCTCTAAGGCACTGCTGACGGCAAAGCCAAGCTTCTGAGCTTGTAGGGGCTGAGGCGTGGGGCTGGCCCAGGGAGGAGCGGGATGAAGGGATGGGTGTTGGGGGCTGTACCGGCCCCTGAGGAGGGGAATGAAGGGATGGATCTTAGGGGCTGTACCGGCCCCTGAGGAATGGAGGGATGGGTGTTGGGGGCTGTACCGGCCCCTGAGGCGGGGAATGCGGGGATGGGGCGGTCCCTGCCGTTCGCTGTCTCGGCGCTCGGCTGCGCGGCCTGCGCGTGCTCGGCGCTCGGCGCGGTGTCCTGCGGCGGCCTGGCGCGCTGTGGTGTCGCGGTGTCGCTGCTTGTCGCGGTGTGTCGCGGTTTGTGGCGATGGTGAAGCTCACGGCGGAGCTGATCGAGCAGGCGGCACAGTACACCAACGCCGTCCGCGACCGGGAGCTCGACCTGCGCGGTGCGCGCCCCCCGCGGGGCGAGAGGGGCTGTGCTGGGAAGGCGGCGGGCGAGGGCGGAGGGCTGAGGCCCGGCTGTGTGTGTGGTGGAGTCTGAGGGAGGACTGTGTTGAATCCCGGAGGAGAGGCTGTGCTGGGGTTTGGAGGGTCCCTGATGGATCTTGAAATGGGGCCTGGAGCCTTCCGTGGCCGGAGGTTCCGAAGCAGGACGGGGAAGCCGCGGGGAGGTTGCGGGAGGGGCTGCAGTGGCCGGGGGTGGTTAAAGAGGCTCCAGTGGCTCCGGAACCTGCGGGGGATGTGAGGGAGCGAATTACAGAGCGGGAGAATGGTTTTGGTTGGAAGAGAGCCTAAAGATCATCTCTTCTCAACCACTAAGACGGGGAGATGTAGGAGGCATGTGCTGTGGTGGGGGTGGGATGTGCTCCCAGCACGAGGGATGTGCCAGAAAGGTGGTTTTGCTGAGAGGGAGGAAGAAGGATTGAAAAAGCCGTGAGCGCTGTTTGGTTTGAGGGGGAGAGTCGATCCCGAGGTGTTTTGTCTGAGGCTTATCGTCATCCTCAGTCCGTCCAGATTTGCCCCCACACACTCTGCTTTGCTTTGGTCTGCTCTGCTGTGGGCACCATCTGATCCCTGCCTTGCACTCTCCCTCCAGGCTATAAAATCCCTGTTATTGAGAACTTGGGTGCCACTCTAGACCAGTTTGATGCCATTGATTTCTCTGACAATGAGATCCGCAAACTGGACGGATTCCCCTTGCTGCGGAGGCTGAAAACTCTCCTCATGAATAACAACAGGATTTGGTAAGGGGCTGTGTTTTAGCCTGATGGGACCCTGGGGCAGAGGAAAATGCTTGTGGGAGAGAGGTGTGTGTGTCTGTCAGTGCTGGGTAGGTGCAGGAGTGTTTGTTTCAGGCAATAAAAGCAGCGCGGAGCACTGTGTGGGCCCTCTTTCAGTTTCTTTCCTCATACAGTGCAAAAGTCGGTGTTTGTTTCTCAGCCAGCACAAGGAGATGCAGAGTTTGGGATTTGGCCAGATCTTTGGACTTGAATAATCAGCTCTATAAAGACAAAGAAGAAGGGATACCTGCAAGGGAATGGATTTAAATCTCATATTGCACCTAATGTTTTTGCAGTGACATATTGCTAGCTTTGTTAGAAAAGTGTTTTGGATGCTCAGCCAAACTTCTGCTGGTGTCACAGTGGGTTTTTCACAGAGAGATCCTCTGTGTTATTGTGTTTCTCTGTGTATTTTCACCATTGCTAATTCCTGCCCTAAATTAAACCTTTGGTTTTTGTTGTTCTTCAGTCGGATTGGTGAGAACCTGGAACAGGCTCTGCCCAGCCTCACAGAGCTCATTCTTACCAACAACAACATTGCTGAACTGGTAAGCTGTGATGCAGGATAAAGCTAAACAAGCTTAAAATTTGTGGTTTTCATCTCTCTAATTAACCATTTGCCTGAGAGTAGTGCCGTGTGCCTTTGGTAATAGTTGGTTCTTTCTCTTTAGAGCAATATCCTGTAGTTTTGGCAATAGTTAATGGTGTACATGCTTTAATGAACATGATTTGCTTCATGCAGTGGAACAGCAGTCACAAAGCTTAGTGGTTTTCCTATTAAAATAATTACAGTAATTTAATTAATCTCTAAAAGAGATACAAGTTCAGAAACTTCATTTTCAATTATTTGATTTTTTTGCTAAAGGGGCTTAAAATTTCTTCCTGTCTTCCCTTCACCCAGGGTGAACTGGATCCGTTGGCAACTATTAAATCATTGACTTACCTGAGGTATGTAACCCCAGAAAGAAAAGTTGCTCTTTCTCTGGTGTCTGAGCTCTGCTGCTGGCCTGGCCCTTTGCTTTGGTCTGGAGTGCACTGCTTTTTATGAGCTGTGACAGATTCTTTAAGTCTAAAAATTGAATTGATAAACAGTGTTTCCTCTACTCTTCATAAACATCTGGTAATTATTGTCTGAGGTTTTACATACTGTTTTATATATATATATAATACTGGTTTTATAGACTGTTGGGATAATGAGATTAACATCTCTATAAACCAATACACAAGTGCTGAAGTGAACTTAACCTTTAAAAACCTAAAACCGAAAGGTTTAATTGGTTGATTAAAAAAAAAATAGTTTAAAATACATGCAAACAAGGACTTTTCAATAGTATCACATTTGGTGTGAGGGACAGAGAGGAACACAGCTTGCCCTGTGATTTTTCAATTGTTCAGTGTCCAGATAGGAAAAGTGATGTTTCAATTATTTTTGGGGGGAGTATTGTGATTATTTTGAGGTTGTTCTTTATGTTGTCCTTCAGTTAAATCTACTGAATTGCTAAAGTGCAAGTTTTTACTACAGTTTCCATAGCATCAAAAAACTGTCAGTAGGCTTATTTCATGATGTTATTTGTTATCTGTTGCAGCAGGAAGTACATGAATTCATTTCAAGTATATTAATATATTTCAATACAAGTGTATTTTAAAATATTTTGTATTGAGAGCCTCTTTATAACCTTTATTTATTTCACAGCGTTCTAAGGAATCCTGTAACAAATAAGAAACATTACAGATTATATCTAATTCATAAAGTTCCCCAGGTCAGAGTGCTGGATTTTCAAAAAGTGAAGCTCAAAGTAAGTCTGATTGCTTTTGATTTAGGGTTTTTTGTTTGTTTGTTTGTTTGGGTTTTTGTTTTTATTTTGTTTGTTTGTTTCATTCTTGAAAATTCACCATGAACAGTGGTCTTGTTGCCATAGTTGTAAATTTTATTGAAACTCTGTAAGTGGGTCTATAACACTCTCATTGTTTCCTTTCATGGTTTCATTCTGTTAAGGATAGAATCTGTTTAATTATGTTTAATTAAGTTTTAGTGCCTTTGTTTAGTGTTACTCTTTTCTGTCTCTTTGGTGTTGGTAGGAGACACCTTTAGAGAAAGAAATGAGCAAAACCACCACAGCCCTCAGCTCTGGGTGGGGGGGTGAGTGTGGGAAAGAGCTCTTAATTCTAAGAGCACGAGGTTGATACATCTTGGAGTGTTTGGGCAATGTTTATCTGCTTGTTCTTGCATCTGGTCTCCATGTACCAATTTCACTGATGAAGATGAGCCAAAGTGTCTTTCTTGGCCAAGATAGAAGCTTTGCAAACTGTGATGTTCTCAAATTAACTTTGTGTGTGTGTGTGGTATCGCTGTAGGAGCGACAGGAGGCAGAGAAAATGTTCAAGGGCAAACGGGGTGCACAGCTTGCAAAGGATATTGCCAGGAGAGCAAAAACGTAAGATAAAACAAATTTACACTGGCATCCTCCTTCAGAAACACCACTTTCTTTGTGTGCAGTATCAGGCAGAAAACTGAATGTCAATATCAGCTGCTGGCAGGATGCCTCAAAAGCTTTGGGATCCAGAAGTGCCTTGTCCAAGCACCCCGAGTTTTGGATGGTGGTGAATACATCTCAGAAATATTTCTGAAAGAGAGAACTTGTTCAAGGTGGATTCACTGAAGTCAACAAGCAGGAAACCTTAATTTTATTTTTGTTATTTAACTGCAGAGAGGTGGCCATTATTTAATTTGTGTTTGGTGGGGTTTTTCTCCTAGATGATTGGTAACTAAATTATTTTGTTTTGCCAGGGAATAAACTGAAAAATCTGCTGTAGTTAGGAGATGAAATACAAATGAAAATCTTTAGTTAAACTATTAGAGTGTATGTTTAATTAGTTTCATTGTTAAGTGGTAATGTTTTGATTAACCTATTTGGTAATAAGAATTCAGATCATGTGTGGCAACAGCATTTCCAAATTCATGGTTAAATAGAAAAATGTCTTGGACTTATTTAGCATTTTAAAGATATAATAGATGGATTTGAGCTCGAGTTTGTGAGTGGAAAGGGATTCAGGTCTGTGACAGTTCTAGAGTAAGCAGATGATTTTCCTTAAAGCAGCAGCAGCAGATAACCTTTTTCTTTTGACCATTTTAGTGCAGGCTTTACTTTAGGCTGTTGTAATATCATAATCGACACATGGGAACAGAAAACCCACTTTCAGTTAGTCTATTTATCCACCCTGCTTTTGTAATGGCAACAGACCAGCTGAGTGTTCAACAACATCCAAACTGAAGAGCTTTTGTCAGCTGCTTGATTAATAAAGTTAAGTTCTGCCTCTGAGCAGATGGAAAGGTGGGGGGAAGTAATGGGACAGTGAGGACAAGTTGCTGGTGTTTCTGAAGGAGGCAATTCTTCACTGTATCAGTTTGTTAACAGAGATAAGATACTACACTTGATGGAATGAAATGCTTTCAAACCTAGTTTGGAAGCATTTCAAGTTAAGAGAAGCAGCTACTCTTCAAATAGTGTTAACAGGTCTTTTTTTTTCCTTTTGAAGCTTCAATCCAGGAGCTGGTCTGCCAACAGACAAAAAGAAAACTGGGCCCTCCCCAGGGGATGTGGAGGCAATTAAGGTAAATATGGCAGGAGAAAAGTGGAGGAGAAGAGCTGCCATGGATCCAAATTGAACAAATATTTCCTTTGTGCTGTTCAGACAAATAGATCAGCATGTCCTGTCTCTGGTTTAGGTTCTTTTTCTGTAAGTTTTCTTCTGACCTACCTGTATTTTGAAAACTTAAGTGAAATGTTAACCTGGGTTCTTCTAAGGGAGGGGGAGGTAATGATTTGTCATTTGTAGAATTTTCTAGAACTGGAATTTAGTAGAACTTCCATAGGCATTCAGCATCACTTAACTGGTAGAAATCTGGCTTTTGTGTTTATTCTGAGCAGTCTGACACAGGGTGTGTGAGGATTCACTGAGTTCTCTGTTTCTCAGACTGCCATAGCAAACGCCTCGACCTTGGCGGAGGTGGAGCGGCTGAAGGGATTGCTGCAGGCGGGACAGATCCCCGGCAGGGAGCGGAAATCAGGTCACTCTCTACTTCTGCTACTCTTCTTTAAACAGAATCCGCCTCTCTTCCTTGATTCCTGATGCTTTATGTGATCTCTGTAGGGAGTTGGGTAGAAAAAGTGGGAGTTTGTCATGTGTGGAGCACATCCCTGGCTCTGTGTGATCTGCCTGGCCTTGAGTGCAGCTCAGGGCTGTCACCTGCACTCCCTCCAGAGCAAGGTGCCAAACAAGGTGCTTTGCTGCATTGGATGACTCCAAAGTTCATCCCAGTTATTGAACAAAATGAGATGAATTACAGAGTCTCTCGGGACCTGTGCTGAGCATCAGTGCCTCGGGTGTGGGTACAGCAGTGAGTCTGGGAGCCCTGCAGAGATGGGTCTCAGCTACAGGCTGGCCATAGCACCAGTTTTCTGTACACTGGGGCTACCTGGATTTCCCGTTCTGTAGAGTTCTTAAACGTTCCCTTTATAACTCTTCTGCAGAGGGGTGGGAAAAGAACAGCAACGTCTGCAGCAGCTGCCCTAAAACTCTGACGTGTCCTTTCAGGCCCATCGGAGGATGGCGAAGAAGAAATGGAAGAGGACACAGTGCCAAACGGATCGTAGCCCGGGCCGTGCCGCGCTCCGGCCCTCCCCAGGAGCCCTTTCCTGTCCCATTCCTGTCCCCGGCAGGGCCCCATCGCTCCCGTCCTCGCGCATTTCGCTGTTCAATAAATGAACGGTCCTTTTTTCTCCCGGTGGTGCCGCATCCGCTTCGGGCTCGTGCGCATCCTGATTGGCCGCCTTGCGCCTTCCTCCCTTCTCTCATTGGCCGGCGCAGCCGCACGTCACCCCGGGCACGGCCAGCGGCGGCGCGGCGCTTCCTGGCGTCGGCGGACGGGGCGGTGATTGGCGGAGCGGGGCGGGCCCGGATGTGAGGCGGCGGCGGACGGGGCGGTGATTGGCGGAGCGGGGCGAGCCCGGATGTGAGGCGGCGGCGGACGGGGCGGTGATTGGCGGAGCGGGGCGGGCCCAGACGTGAGTCGGCGGCGGGTGATGGAGCCCGGGGGTGACGGTCCCGCGGCAGGGCCCGGGCCGGCGCTGGGCCGGGGCGGCCTGGAGGCCCTGCAGCACACGGGTGAGGGGCCGGGGGCCGGGAGTGAGGGCGGGGGGCGGCGGGGCCGAGGCGCGGAGTGGGGGCCGCTCCCCCGCCCGGGTGGGCCCCTTGCCGCGCGGTCCGCGCTCACCTCCGGCCTGTCCCCATCGCAGCGGGCTCGGTGCTGTCCAGCTATGGCTGGTACATGCTCCTGGCCGTCGTCGCCGTGTATCTTCTCGTGCAGAAGGTGTCCCGCAGCCTGGCGTCGCGGCCGAGCGGCCGGCCCGGAGCAGCTGAGGCGGCCGAGGGTGAGTACGGAACGCGCTTGTGGCCTCCGGGCTCCTGCTGGCCCTCCGCGGCCTGGCCGGGTGCCTGGGAGCCGCTCGGATCCGCACAGGGCTCTGGAGCTGGTAACAGCCTGAAGGAGATCCGGTTGTGAGGGGTTTTAGAGGAGAGTGATGCTCGTGATAACGGCTCAGCCCCCTGAGCCTGAGGGGATCACCGGGAAAAGTTGGGCCAAGGGAAGTCTTTTTAAAAGAAAGAAAGGAAAAGCTGTGTCCCAAAGTAAGGTGTTTGGGAATGAAGGAGCGGGACATCACAGGACGGGGGATATCTACTCTTTGGTGGTGCAGGAGCTGAGGGGATGGAGGCTAAAAGCACCCGTGGTCAGTTACCAAATAACTTCTAGACTTATCAAGCAAAACCAAAACTCCCAAATCTAAATCTTCGGGAAGATACTTCTATAAATACTCACTTTTTATTAATATTCATCATCCCCTTCCAGTTATTCTTTCCCAGTTCCTGCTGTGGCAGGACTGTGTGCAGTTGGGGTGTGACACTGTTATCTTTGGGAGTGTGGCACAGGTTGTAAATCTCACAGTCAGGATCCTGCTGAGAAGCACAGGCTGTGCTCGTGGCTCTGCCAAATCCATGAGTGCTTGGCAATGATCCCTTGGGCACATTGGCACGACAGGACATGGGGCCCCAGTAAAATCTTATTTGCATGCCCTTATCTTTCTGCTGTTATTTTGTGATGATAATTAAATGATGATTTAATTGCCCAGATTGCCTGTAAAAATGAAATTACTGAAAGTACTGACATTGCTTTTTCATATTCATCACTGGATCATAGCAAAAAATGAGGCAAACAAATGTGGAGGTGCTTCAGCTTCTGGAGGAAGACAGAGCAACATTTGCCTTTTTTGGGGGGTATAATTTAATTTTCCTATTGACCTTCAAAGGCCACTCATGAAGAGCAGTGGTGCCTCAGTGTGGATTTTCTGAGACCTCCAGGTGTCTCTTGAGATCTGTGTCATGTTTGTAAGTGATTTGTCTGCTGATGGAGGGTGTTAAATCCACTGCTGCACTGACACCAGCAGGACCCATTGCCAGAAGGAGTAGGAGTGAATGTGGGCTGGTTGCCTCATCCTTCTGCGCAAAAGAAGTTCTCTGGGTAAAAATGGTCCCTGTGAAGCCTGGGTGATGTTTCTGAATTAATTTGTATCTAACAAATCCTTCAGATATAGAAGGAAGTGTCCTTGAAGTGTGAAGTTTAAACTTTATGGTTAGTTATATTTGTGTCCTTATTAAAATCCTGTTAAAGCAATTGCTTTAAAACAGTAAAATATGATGAAGTTTAATTCAGCATATAAATTACTATAAAAGATTAGCTGGAAACAGAACTTGAGCTGTTATTTTTAGAAAAACAGCTGCAGGGATAGATATGAAGCTGTCCTTATTACAATTATTTGAGGAGACCATCTAGAATTTACTTTGAGTAGCTTTGCAAACTCTTTCCTGATTTCCTAGAACCTGATGCAGTGGTGAGAAGGCAGGAAGCTTTGGCAGCAGCTCGCCTCAGGATGCAAGAGGAATTGAATGCACAAGCAGAAAGATACAAGGAAAAGCAAAGACAGGTAACCAGAGAGCATTTCTTCCTTTAACTCATAAATTTCTCATCAAGAACTTTGCTGCTGTTAAAGAAAGTAGCAAATTATAATTGTGGGTCTGGTGTTCATTTGTTCCCAGGTAAATCTGTACCTGCAGGAACTTAGCTGTGTGTGCAGTGAATAGCTGGAGGGGTTTGCTGGCATTTAAATTAACTATACCACTGCATATGTGTGTTTCCTGCTCTTAATGGCAAATATAAGTGTTAGAAATGTAGCTTAGCATTGCTGCAGTTGAAGGGTCTGAATTATAGTTTGAGATCATGAGGAATAGTGAACTGCTGAGTGGGGCAGTGCAGAAAATAGGTGTGATCAGCATAGCAATAACACTGGTCATCATCCCACCTCTTCTGGTTTGCTTTTGCAGTCAGACACTCAGACCTCAGTTTATAGCTCATGCTTCAAGTAATATCGGCAGTTAAAAACAAAGGAAAAGTCCTTTCTTTCCTCTGTAGAACCCCACGTTGTGCATTGAATTACTGTCACATGCAATATTCTTTACTTAGTACTTTTTATGCATTCAGGGTTTAAACTTGCCACTGGTTCTGTTTTACTTTCAAAATGTTTTAAAGCATCAAGTGGCCAAAAGAAGCCGCAGACTCAGTCAGGACATCCTGAGGAGGGGCGGAGACGTGGGTATATAAAAAGAGTAAATTCTTCCATAATCTCAGGGATACTGCATCAGATAGACACATTTTGATGAGTCTGTTGTTTCTGGGGATTCTGTTAGCTCTGAAATCTTAGTTTTAAGATTAAAGCTTTATCCTGGATTTGTTCCATAGCTGGAGGAGGAGAGGCGAAGGCAGAAGATCGCGATGTGGGAGAGTATGCAAGAAGGAAAAAGCTACAAAGGAAACCTGAAACTGAATCAGGTAACAACCATATTAATCATGTCACAGTTGTGTTTGTGTGATTGAGGGAGCTGAAATTTGTGCTGAGTAACTTTTTTGCTTTTCTGAACAGCAAGAAGTAGAATCTGGTGCCTCTGCCTCAGCAGTCCCAAAATCTAAACCAAACAAAAAGCCTTTGAGAGGAGGTGGTGAGTATGGAATCCTTCAGACACTCTGAGCATGGAACAGGTCATTTATCCAGCTGTATCTATGGACTCTGTACATACTTTTTGTCTTTTTAAAGGAAGAAACAAAACGTTCCTTACAAATGAGCTCTTTATCTCTGATCAGCTGGTCTGCTCTGTCCTTTGTGCAGAAAGCTGGCAGGGAGTTTTGTGAGTGCTTTTCCCTGGGAAAAGAATGTATCAGGGTTTTTTTTTGTAAATATGCTTTGGCATAATTTACTGAAATTTTTGCCACTCAGAATTACAGATTCTTACAGTGTTTCTGGGATCCCTCCCCCATTATTGTATAAGGTCAATAATTTAGTATCTGACCTGTCTTTCAAGCACCTGAAGTACTGATTAAATGCAAGAAGAGGGTATTTTACTTTGTATTATGTATATTCAGAAGATGAAAGGAAATTATTATGTAAAATGTGACCTTACTTTTCAAATACCACAGTGCTGACCTATTGAATGTATAAATCCTGTAGCTGTATAAACTCTTACCAACTCTCAAAGTGCATCTCACTGTTAAACTCAGTCACCTGCTGGAATCATCTTGACGGATGAAGTGCTTTCTATGGCCTCACATTGCCCATGTCAGGTTCACTGGCCATGCAGGCAGTCTGCTTCCTCTCCTCTCAGCCCAGCAGCCCTTGCCCATACCTGCAGGTGCTAATTTGGGTGTATTTTAATGACAATTTTCCACAGCGGAGTGGATCATCCAGACAGCCTCAATCAGGCTGAAAAGGAGGCCCACTTAGGGTGCAGTGCTGAGTGAGTGACTTGATTAAGTGTATGAAACCTGTGGATTCTTGATTAAACATCCTAAACCTCAATAACAGTGCAGTGCTGGGATTTCTGCTTTGAGTATTTCTCCTGACATTTGAAGGAATTAAGCCATTGATTCATCTTAGGTTGTTTAATGAGGGTGTGATGTCTGATGCTGTCAGGTATCTTTGATAGCTCTGTCATGGGATATTTACCTCCCTGGGGATGAGAAATGCAGGGATCAGCTATGCTGAGAACCAGGATCAGGGCAGCTGGGTTTGGGCACCCTTCCAGCTGCTACCTGTCCTATTTTAATCCACAGCAAAGTCCTTACTTAAGTAACCAATTACAGAATTAGAGGTCTCAGATCTTCCCCTGAGGTAGATCAGCGTGAAGTGAAAGAACCATCTGTGCTGCTCAGCTGCTCAGTTGAGCTAGAAAGCAAAACTTGGCTGGTATGGGAAAAACAAATTTCAAAGATTAAGGTGATGCTGGGAGTTTCAGAACAGGTTGCTTTGTAAACCCCCCTGGTTACTAGGATTTGGGTTCTTAGGTTTGTGCAGAAGAAATTGAAGATGTTTGCCAAGTTCTGAGTGGGTTCTTCTGACATGAAGTTTCCCATAGTTACAGCATTAGGATGTTCAACTAAAGTGCATTTGCCTTTTCTACCTATGCTTGCCTTTTCAAATGCTCTAAAAAAATACTTTGCAGTATTAATGAGTGGATTTACATTTTCACCTTCAGACTACTCCTTGCAGGACTGGAATAAGGGATTAAGTCCCTGGCTGTTGGGGCTCTTGGAGAACAGATAACACTCTACAGAGTTTACTGTAAGAGCTGCTGTTGCTTCTCTATTTATCCTGCAGCTTTAGAGCAGACTTAGAAAAATTAAATGGTGATTCATTTCAATTTCGTTTAATCCAAACTGATCAAATTAAAACACAAATGTTATGCAATGGTTTTTAAAAGAGAGAAACCCTCTCAAGTCTGGATGTTTTCTGTGCTTTCATTCTCCCTAAAATGCTGCATGCATAAAGGATGAGCAAGGTGTAAATATTATGAGATCTATTTTTGGTGTTCCTTGTGCCTTGGTGAAGGGCTGTGGAGGATGAATATTAACAGAGTGGGTTTCTCTGTGTTCCAGGCTATAACCCACTGTCTGGAGAAGGAGGAGGGACGTGCTCCTGGAGACCCGGCCGGCGGGGCCCGTCAGCAGGTGGATGAGGCTAACGTCCCTAGTGTCCTCTGGCACTATCAGGCTTGATCTTACCCCCTGTCTAGCTGCCTGCAGCTGGCCTGTCACAAGGACTCCTTTGGGACTGGTTCAGTGCACTTGTTAACTTAAAACAGATATTGTTTGTTTGATTTACACCCTTTCCAAATTGTAAGACATTGGCTGATGCTACACCAGAAAAATACCTGATCCTCTTAGAGAGGGCAAAGAGAAAATTTCAGTATAATCAGTTAATTTTCACTCTTCTGTAGAGAGGGAGTCTAGTCTCCAGCCAGGATGAATCACCTGTGATTGTGAGATCTGGGCTCTCTGACAAATTTAGTTATCTATGCTCACTTTACCTCTGTGAGATGAGGATATTTACCATCCTCAGATGTGTTACCAGATTTACCTTCCAACTAAACACAGTCATTTAGAGAGTAAGGATATTATCATTGGCAGACACCTTGAATTTAGGGAGGGGGACTTTCAGAAAAAGCACAGGTGATCTGACAAATGTCACGGATTTGCACCAAAGGCCAGTTATGGCAGAAGAGTCTCTGTGACAAGCCAGCTTGAATGATGTTTTCCTTATAAATGGTAAACAAACCAGTGAGGATTACTGATGATAGACAGCAGACAGGGGGGTTCTTGCTATTCCTTTTTTTTTTCTTTTTTTTTTATTGCAACTGCTTTGTAAAAACAAGACACTATTAATATTAAATATAATTGCAAACATCGTAAATTTAGTATTTACAATCTTGTGGTTTTCTACGGCATCTTTTTTTTATAGAAAACATTTGTTCTAGTGCAATAAATGTGTATAAAGCAAGGTGGGAGATGAAGTAACTCTGCTGCAGCTTGGGCAGCACCAAAGCTGAGGGTGGTGTGTGCTGAGGAGGGCTCTGGCCAGTGAAAGTGCCACACTGGCAAGTGAGGGGTGCAAGGAGTGTGTGGTGTTCATCCTTCTGGTGTATGTCAGCACTGAGGACAAAAAACAACTGGTCATCATAACCAAACTTTCCAAGCATCCCATCCCCTTGATTTTCTCTCTAAAATGCAACAGACAAATAAAATCCAGGTTGTTTTTGGAAAGGAGTGAAATAATTCCTGTTGGCATAGGACAAGTGTCCCTGTGTCCAGTTGCTGTTCCTGAGCTGGTCTGTGGGCACTGGGGGGGGAGCAGTGGCTCCTTAGAGCTTAGGGCTGCCAGAGCACTTGTTTCTGAATATTTACTCTTGGAATACTTGTGCTTATCAATAGCTACAAGTGTCAATTTTGAATACATGTTCATATGCTTGTTGATATTTCTCTTGACTAGAAATGCAACAGGAGCATTATTAGAGAGTTTAAAAGTTGGTAATGAAATTGAAAGGCCAAGGAGCTTTTGTTTTAGACACAACAAAGTGCTTGGCCAAGTGTGTGTGGAAGGTGAAGTGAGGCTGTTGATGTTCCTATGGAAATTCATTCAGAGGCCTTCAAACTTCAGGTTTTAATCCTGAATAAGACAAAAAGAAATAGCGCTGGGGAAGGATATTTTCAACATCTGAAGAGTCTTCCTCAGGAAGTAGGACTAAGTTGTAACGCCATAGGAAACATCTCCCTTGTGTTGGGAAAGCAGGCAACAGACTGAGATGTCTTCAGAAAAACAACTGGGGGAGGTTGTTGTCTTAAAGAAGCAGAAATCCTTGTGCTGATAAGATGGTCAGGGATGAGTTTATTTAATTCAGTGAAAACATTTGCAAAATAAATAAGCAGGTCTTAACTGAGTATATGCTAATCTTTCTCAGTGTCTCAAGACTTGCTTCTGGCTAGGACTAAGGATATGGCTTTTTGCCCAATTCTAAGGTTTAATAAGACATGTCAAGTGAAAGTGAAATGATGTACATATTTCTGGAAGTTTCAGCCTGATTTTTAATTTTTTTTTTTAATCCTCAAGTTTCTGAATTTTCTTAGTCAGACACTTCTAAGCTATTGAACAGGGTGGGAGGACGAACCTCAGCTCATGAAAGTTTTCTTTTGGCTCACAATAGGCACAAGAGGGAAGAGTTTTTCCTCTGACTTCAAATGGAAAGCTCTCCCCTGACCACAGCCATTATGGAAAGGTGGTTTCTTGCTGCTTTATAGCTCAGGAGTGAAGCATGTAGAAAGCATTAGGTGAAAGTGAACTATGTAATGAATCCATTGTTCCTGGTTTGGTATGAATTCCCAAGAACTTGAATTATGAAAGATCATATTAAAAAGCCTTCAGGAAATTTTTTTTTTCCCCCCACTAGAGCAGTTATGCAAGAAGCCTCTTGCTTTACTCATGCAGATGTTCTGGAAATACCTCTGTCTGGAAGAAGCTGGGTAATAAACTATTTAACTGCTGGATAATGCTATTTAACCACTGAAGTATAATCTGGTTTGGGTATTAAGAAGTCAAAAAATCAAGCAACTGTTCAGAGGCACAAAAAATTCCAGAAAATGTTACTTGCTTAAGAAGTGCAGCTAAGTATTTTTTGTTGCTTTTAGATGATTTATATGCTGGAGGAGCAGAGTTTTTTGTTTTCTTTAAATTGCAGATGAGATCTGGTTTGTGCATAGTTCTCTTAACTATTCATCAGGAGATACTGAGCACTGGAGTTAAAACTGAACAAAACAACCCACGTTGTCAGACTCATAAAAATTATTTGGCCTTGTTTATGCCTTTAAAAAACATTGTGAAATGAGAGAAAGATTTTAAGAGTGATATTGCATACTTGGGCGTTTAAAAAATATCTTTCTTATGCTGGAAATTTTTAATAACAAACAGAAGAGGGAGTTTGGGGGAGTGAGGGCAATGGGGGAATCTGTCAGCAGAGCTGTTCCCAGGTGTTCCAGAGTTATCTGTGTCTCAATCAGAGATCAATGTGAGTGAAAATTATAATTGCACCTGTATCTGCAAGGAACTGCTGTCCTTGCAAAATCCAAGTGCAGGTGTGAAATGCCAGTACTAGCACATCTCATCTGCTGTGTTTATGCAGTTCTGTACTATTCTGACTCCAAACTCAAGGAGCTGGGCTGTTCTGCAGTGGCTCCGTGCTCAGACTCTGCTGATACTCAGCTCAGCTGTTTAAATTGGGTTTTTTTTTTGGGGGGAGGGGGGTGTGTGTCTTATTTCCCTCCCTAGAAGATGACTTTGCATTCCAGAGCTCAGTGAAGGAGGATGGCATCCAGCCTGAGAGTCTCCTGTAGATTTTACCAGCAGCCCTATTGTTACTGGCTGCATTTAAAGCCCTCTAATGCTGTTCTTTCTCTCTCCTGCTCAAGCAGGCAGCTCCCTTGTGCAGTTGGGTCCTTGCAAGGCTGGCTGTAGATCAGCACACATCTCAGCATCAGATCCACCTTCTGGATGAATTTTGCCCTTGTACAGGCTAAAATGTGGCACCTTGTCAGGGACCAGTTTAGCCACAAGTGGGGTCCAGAGTGTTTCTGTCCGTGCTATAGCTGAACAGTGAAACTGCAATTTCCAGCTGTAAAAAAAGCTGGTCTAGACTTCGATGGGCTGAAGCTTTGGGTTTTTAATTTATTTTTTTTTTCCTCTCCCTCCTGTGTGGAATGAGAGCTTGGCTTGTGGAACAGCTCTGCAACCACAAAGGAAAAGCACACGGCTGCTGGCTGGGTGGTGTCCTGGCCCAGCTGCACCGTCGTAGCTGATTTTGTGAGAGCTTCCAGGGCAGCCTGACACACACCCTGCCCATATTCCCAGCTCCAGAGCCAGTGACTTCAAAAACTTCTGTTGTTTTTTTTTATGAGAAACTAATGTCTTCAGTGGAATAGGTGCCCTCAGCTCAGCTTCGGTGGGGAAAATACACATTTCTTGTTGAAGATTTCTGTGGCAAGGTGCTGGCAGGGAGGCAGGTGCTGTTCTCATGTATTTATTGCTGTGATTTTATCTTGAAGTGCACACCTGCTAAAAAGCACTTTCAGCACAGAGCAAGATCACTGGTAAATTTACAATTTCACTCCTTCCTCTACCATAGATTCTTTCTGTGTGGTTGTTACTGAGCTGAGCTTCTGAGCTGGTTCTGTGGGTAAAAGTGGAGGAAGGCAAGGAAAAGAACTTAGAAAATTTTATTTAAAGAGAACGGAAAGGAAATGGATACCCTGAAATACCTGGCATTTAAGTCTAGTTCTAGTACCCTGCATTAAAATGGGGAATTACTGTTAGCTTTGCCTAAAAGCTGCACTTTGAAAAAACCAAAAAATCAAGTTGTACAGCTTTACTTTATCATGTACTGCGAGGGCGGCAACACTACCTGTGAATTCCATTTCTTAGGTAATGTAATTGCCACTTCTTTAGGTGTTCTGCTTTTCAGGCTATGACATCTTGCTGCTCTCTTTTTCCAATATACATTCTGGGCTTTTCCAGTGCTTTCTTGACTCAGGTGTGGCAGCACCACATTCAGAAATGCATCAGTCCCCTCCGCAAAGCTCGAGTGCCTGGTTACAGCCCGCAGTGCTGCTCCCATCACCGGGGAGATGAGACCCGGAGGTTGGGCAGGCCCCTGAGGAGCTGCTTGGGGAGCAGGAGGGTTTTCCATGGCATTCCCACCTCTCCCGGCCGGGAAGGCGAGGCGGCTGCACTGCGGGGCCGGGCCGGGCGATGGCAATGTCGGGCCGGCTGTCGGAGAACGGGGACAGTTCTGCTCTCCCTCGAACGGGCACTTCTGAGTCATCCGGCTGGGGAAAGGTTGGGACTGGGCCGTGGCAGGACCAGAATAGGATGGGGAGGGGAAAAAAAAGTGGGTGCTGGAGCTGAGAAAGGAGTTTCTGCATCATTTGGGAAAATGCAGCGGTGCTGGAAATACTGTGACAGAGACAAATGCTACTGGTTGCCCAGTGAGATTTTTTCCACTGTGAGTCTGTTACATTGAATATATGAAATATGCTCATTTTCCAGTGCCTGGGCAGTTTTTAAAATATAAGTTTGAGTATTGGAACATTCCTAATTAAAGTTTCTGGAGCATTTGGGGAGTAGTGCACTTCTGTAGCTATTATTTTAAAATGTGGTCAAGAATATATCTTGTAGAAGGTACATCCTGCAAGTATTGGAGTGGGATTGCTGGAGATCAAAATCAGTGGGAAAAAGTGGTAATAATGCAACATAGTCCTTCTTTCCTCTACAGAGCAAAGTCTCCTATGTGGAAGAAACCTTCTTCATTTGGTATTCAAGTTCTTTATTCCAAAAGGATGACATTTATTCTGTATGCACACACACACACACAGAGGCAGCTCAAGGACTTGGCTTTTTCATTGTTTAAAAATAGGATTACTGTTTGGTTAATCTGATTATGAATCTAAACTATGTGGGCCTGTCAAGTGGGCTCTCACCGGCTGGTCTGGGTGCTAATCTCGCTGGAGGGAGTGGGACGGGAGCGTGGAGATGAGCACACACCACATGCATCCTCTGCAGATTTTGGAGAGCCCTCGGAATACTTCCTGCAGCCATCCCACAAGGAGTTGAAAAGATGCTGCATAAAAATGCGTTTATGCTTGCAGACTGTGTTACAAAAGAAAAATATCACGTCTTTGAATATATAGGAACCATGATGTATAGTGACAGCTATTGAGACCAAGAGCTGTATTAATAGAGAATGGCACTTAAATATGATTATGCAGTATGACCTTTTGCTGCCATCCAGATTAAAAATACACTCTAGGCAGGTAACAGTGTTATAATTCCACTGGAAGGACTAAGCCATGCTTTTCAAGTTTCTCTGA